ACACGTTTGCAGGGGCCAGGGAACTGTTTGAGTGAAGCGCTACCCGAGACTATGGCGGGAAACTCTGCAAAGGACAGGGGGCTACGATTATAGAAGTCTGGCCACTGTCGCGGAGCAATCGGATAGCACTGTAACCCACTCGAGTGGGGTACTCACCAGCACAGCTTGGTAGACAAGAGCATCCCAAAAGTTGATTAGACTGGTGTGGGGGTGACTAGGCAGTAGTTTAATGGGAGATAAATTACACGGCACTGCTGTGTTCCTATGTTTAGTAATAAGAGCAAGGACAGTAAAAATCCCTGTGTATTTTTGTGACCCAGGTAAATGGGATCACATTGTACAGTTGGGAGACAGCTTTTAATCAGAAGCCCTATTTAAGTCAGCTATCAATACGGAGGTTCAGAAAGAGACGATTCTCTGCCTCCCAGGCAGCCTCTGGGCCTTTAGAGACAGAGTGGTTTTCTGCTCAACCGTCTCCGGAAACTGTGAGGGATCGGCCCCTTGAGCGGTTATCTGCTCAGGGGTGGGATTGTGTTATCAACTCCCTGTCACAGTCAGCATACAAGTGGAGGCACAGTATGCCTATTGCCAACCATAAATTTTATATTTTTAATGGTCCTGTACCATGGAGGAGGGCACTTTTAAGATAAGCCCATCAACAGAATTAGATCTATGAAGTATGGGCCCGAACTTCCACTACTGGGCACGGTGAAACTGTGTTCCTGCTAAGGGTCCCCTATGCTTAAGGGGTGACCCGACCTTGTCCAAATCCACCAGAAAACAAACATCTCCAGCATCTTGAACAACACCAGAGGATCTGCTACCTCATGATTCCTGATCAGCAGCTTTCAACCTCAAGAGGGGGCCTTCATAAAACAGGGAAGAGTGTGGTGAATTTTGGGTAGAGTTATCTCCCTTAGACCTATAACCGCGCCGACAACCTGGATGTGACATCTCGCGCGGTCTCTTACATCTTGACCTTGTTACTTGATTTCCTACTACTACGCTAAATTAAACGATAAAGCTTATTGCGGGCCACTCAATCGGCAAACCTCGGCCGATTCCGGTACCCTTCATCTAGCAAAATTTCAATGTCATGTTTGTTCTCTCTGAATCTCCTTAATGGCATCTGTGAAGGTTAAAATCCAAAGGTACCACTGAAGGAACTGCATAACGTAATTGTGTAAATCATCCGATTCTCCTGCTTCAGATTTTATAATCCTGACTGGGATTTTATGATTTGACAAACAGATATCAACTGTGACTCCGTGTTTAGCCTGTTCCGGTGTAACGTTAAATATGACGTTGTTGTTGTTAATATTCAAATCAAACTTGAGCATTCTTCCATCCACTACGCTATTGACTGCAAGGTGAGTGTCCAAGATATCCACATTCAGTAAAACTTCATGTTCCTGAATATGAAATAGTACGTTATTATAGAAAAGATAGAATGGTTGGGTTAATGTTGGAAGACACCATTTATAGTCTTGCATGTATCACCAACACAGTTCTAATTAAAAAGAGCACTGTATTGATAGTTATGTGTAGTTTAAATTTGTGAAACACATTTTTAGAAAATGTTATTAAATTAAAATCTATTGATAAATTGTATGACACATGTAAACAGATTTGTTTATTGTTGTTTACGTCCTTTTGATAAATTGTATGACACATGTAAAAGATTTGTTTATTGTTGTTTATCTCCTTTTGATAAATTGTATGACACATGTAAACTGTGAGATTTGTTTATTGTTGTTTACCTCCTTTGGAGAAGTGCACACAAGCTCCTGTATAACCTCATCCATGATGCTGTGAAAGACATCTTTCTTGTACTTATTTTGCATAAATTTGATGTTGGTCTTCAGGTGAAGGTGTTTTGGTTCTGCATCAAGTGAGTCCATACCAAATTTGTCCATAACAAATGACAGGAAGTAAGCATTTCCCACTGTTAGGGCAAAATCTTTAGGGCCTAACAGTAATGAAAAAATGACATGTATAAGTGTCATAGTCAAAAACTCAAGATCAATTTAAGGTGTTTCTTTGTCGTTTCAAAGACAAAGGTTATAGTTCTATCAATATGTGTTCACTTGTAATTATTTCATAGTAAGCACACTTTGGTACCCTTACTTGTATCAAATTGTATGTATCCTACTAATTAACAAGATGTGTTTGTTACATATGAATGCTGCCAGTGACATATCAAATCAAATAGCTGGGCATCCAGCAATCTGTAAATATTTCATTTTGAAATGAAAAGTAAACTAGCGGCCTGGAACTAGCCTGGATAGGGTTTGGGGTGTTCAGGTCAAAATATCTCAATTAATTATAATACATGTATCTGGTGCTGGGATGTACATGTATGTATACATTGTATGTAGCTGCCACGTACCGGCTGCTATAAAACCATATTTAATATATCATTTTGATCCCAATAAACCCATCCACCTTGCTCCTCCATTACATAAAAGGGCTTTATTATTTAAGTGTCAAGTATTAGGTCTTTATGTATTCAACTTAAGAAGTAAAGGTCAAGGTTTAAGTTAAAAAAGAAGTTTCAGTTTGTGATATTGATAGACAAACAAACCGTAAAAGACAGACAATCTAATATCTTTATACACCAACCTTTCAATCCAGGGGCATAAATATGATTGTAGTATTATACATGTACCTCAAACCGGCCTTTGACCTTTCATTTATGTTGCTCCGTTCAATGGCTAACTTTCAATTGAACAGAGTGCCTTTGTCTCCACCACTGGTGGTTTTGTAGAATCTCTTGTACGTTTAGAGTCATTCGGCACACCTCGAGCTCGGCAGGATCTTTCCACAATATAATTATTATTATTACATTCTTAACGGCCCATCAACACTGAAAATAATCAATAAATGATGAATACAAATAGGTATGACACAACATCAAATGAATTGAACGTGGAAAATATGTAATAAGAGGCCCAGAGGGTCTGTATTGCTCATCTGGATATTGCAGTGAATATGGAGAAACACTCTACATTTCTTCAGAAGAAGGCATTGAAAGATTCACTATTTTTTCCTATATTTGTCCCCAACCCCTCAGGCCAATAACCAACGTTTATACAGACCATATATATGGAACAAATTCTTTCATTTCTACAGAAGAAGGATTTTAAAGAATTTGCTATATTTCCAACATTGGGCCCCACCTCTCAGGCCCCTGGGGGCCAGACCCACCGTTTATACAAAATCTAAGTTTCCCTTCCCCCAAGGATGCTTCTGACCAAATTTGTTTATGACAAGTAGCGATTTATAGGAAAAGTTGACGGACGACGCGCCATCACAAATGTATTTGGACACTCACATACATCTTGTGGTACAGACAGACAGCTTTTAGATTTTTCAAAAATTTGTCTATCAAAACACTGGCAACTAAAAAACTCAGTATGTTCAGACTTCTTTGAAAAAATACAATTTATAGTACATGAGTACTTGAGTTTTGATTATGTCCAGCAATTTTTTTATTATATATATACAAGCTTTCCAGTCACACATCATAAGTTTTCTAAATATTTTAATGTATACATTGTATTAGGAACACACAATTGCATTTATTCTGTTTAATAAGTTTATTCCACATTACCTCCAGTAGATCTTATAATATATGGAATAATTCAACAATGATTGGTTCCAAATGCTCCAGTCGATCTACTGCTGTCAATGCTCCAACCTGAACAGCCTCGGCTCCTTGCAGCCTCACTCAGGTCAGTTGGTCT